GGGGTAAGTCCGGCTGGTCAGGTGAAGCAACAGTAATGAAACAAGACAAGATAATGACACATAGGGTTACATTCCAGCAGGAGTATTATTGCTTGCAAATGACAAAACATACCCAGGTGTGAAGTCCCTGTGAAATGCAGGCAAATATTTAAGGATGTATTCTTAGGGGTTAAATTTGTGCTTTTGAGAAAGATCTGTCTGTATTCATCCCATGCAAAAGGAGCTGCAAAAGGCATCATGAACCCTTTATCGTCCCAGATCATTGTCCTGTGTGAACAATTGTGAGAGTTCCCATCCATGGTTTGGCTTCCAAGAACTTTAGTGATCTAAACAAGCCAATGAAGGTTTGCCTTACAAGGCAGGCAGCTTTTCATCCGGAGTTTGGGAAGCAGAAAGCTTGAGTAGGGGAAATGTGGGTGCTGAATTTCCCTGAGCAGCATTCTTGGTGTGACCCAAGAGAGAGAACAAAATTTGAGGTGGACAGATGAGGACTTGCCAGTAAGTCTTTTCCCTCCTTCTTATATACCTGCCGTTATATAAAGGACAAGAATGTTAGATGCAGCCAGAAGAGAATAAATATTGAATTTTGGCTTATGATGCTCTTCTCAGAGATGAAGGTAGAAACAGTATTCTTTTTTTTTGTCCAGAAGAAGCATTACAAAAAGGACTAAATGGGTAGGGAGCGTGGCATTATGTTAAGCACTTTTGGGAGAGTGAATAGTTAAAATTAATCTTTGTGTTGTCAGGCTCTTAAGTGAGGAATGATGCATTAGACAACCTGATTTTATTTGATTTGTTGGGAAACCAGAGTTGCAGTGCTGTTTCTTGAACAGAATTACAGGCTTCATTTAAAGAGAGAGGCAAAGCACACACATCATTCTGGAGTAGATCAGCATAAGCATTTTCTATATCATGAGTAATGTTTACTGGAAGAAATCAAATTACTGTTACACAGACCATCTGTTTTCTTTGCATGCAATTGTGTAAGTGTTTTAGGACAAGCTATCCTTTTTAATCAGTTGTAAATCTCTTATGGCAAGGCAGTGTTTTCTGTAATAAAAATCTATTTTTATGATAAATGTAAGAGTTTTAAATACTGGTTTTTCCTGCATAAATATAGTGTATGTATTGTTCATAACATAAAGAGTAGGAGTCTACAGCATTAGTTATTATCTGTCAAGAACTTAATTTTAGGGCTTTTTGCATAGCCATTTTTGTATATTTGTTGGATCTGCAACTCACTGGTGTTCAAGTGTTATAGCAAATAACATAATGAGTAATACTGTCCATTTATAGCCCAAGAAGTTGATTCCTATCTACATTTAGTAAATGGAGTGTAATAGGGTCTCTATTTTGTAGCATGATTGCTGTGATAAAAGTGATTACTGTGGAAGATGATTGTCCATTGTCTAAATTTCTACCTTTGAAAATACAGAAGAAAACAAAGCATGGCTTATTGAAAAACGAGCCTGTAGAATGACATAATGACATTAAGGAAACTTGAATTTATGGTCGGCAAAGGAGTCAACAATAGAGTGTGATATTTACTTCATGTTTAAGGGTAGCTCATTCACAGACATAATGGTCCCATTCATTTTAGCAGATGCTGAATTGAGCCTGCTATTTTATTTTTTTGTCACTGTCAGCTGTCAACTTCCCTGATTCATGTATTGTCTTTGGGTACACAGAGGTTGCTCTTGAATTCGGGGGAAGTTGAAGGTCTGCCTCTTTAGCAAAGTCTCCTCTGATTTCAAAAGCAGCTGTGTGATTGCTTTGCCAGAATTTGCTCTGTATTGCATCAAATGACCCTGAAATAAAAGAAAGAAACAAGAACTGTAAGTAACACGATTGGAAATTCTCTGAGCAGGTTGGCTGTCCTTCTCAATGAGGTTGGCAAGACTGAATTTCATTTGTTCAGACACTTTCAAATCAATGCTATTTTGTCTGAATAATTAAGCTGCTTACTCAGGCTTGAAAAGTGTATGGTGCTAAATTCTTGCACTTTTTTGGGTAAACATGAAGAGGCAAGGAGGGAGAAACAGATGGACCATGCACCTGGAAAAATTATAGTGTCTACAGTCTGGTGCCATCCCATGGTACTGTGGAAGTTTTCTGTTCAGGGAAATATCAGGTGAAATGAAGGGACTCTTTAAGTCCTCTTGTGAAGGCTGATATCAAAATCTCCATGTCCTGTGTATTGCCACTTACTTCCAGTGAAAGGAAAAAAGCAGGACAAGGTGAATGGCTTACAAAATCATACAGGTTATAAGAGAATGAAAGATAAAATAAAACTGTAGTTAGTAGCAGTCTAATAAATTTACCTGTTTGCATTTGTTTGTTGTTGTTCAAATTCAGTAATTTTTGTTAGAGAAAATTATTAAAGATGAGATGCATTTTTACTTTTTATTCCCTCTGTTTTTTGTTCTTGTGTTCGCCCTTATTTTATTCAGAGGGAAGAATACTGCAGGCAAATTAAATTATGTCATTGAATCACAGCAATTTGTTTGTTAGAATAGGCTTCTGGAGGGCTCTGGAGGGTATCAATAATATCCTAGTCTAAGCAAGAAAAAATCAGATAGCATCACTCACAGCCTTGTTCTGCTGAATTTGGAGTATCTACAACAATGGAGATTTGCCAGCCTCTCCCAACAACCTGTTTCTCAGGCCTCATTTTGTTCCCCTAGAAGCTCATCTGGTTGTTTCTCATGTTGCTCACCAGTTTCAAATCCAGCTGAGGTCTGGCTTCCCCAGTTTCATCCAAGCAGTCCAGAACAAGGAAGTTCTGCATTGCTCCCAGGTAGCCCTCCCAACCTCTTCATCCTCTGCTGTCCATCTGCTGGGCGTGCATGACTTCCCACATGGCAACCTGGGAGGTCCCACTGCCCTGGGAGAGCTGCCTCTTCTTCCTCAGCAAGCAGCTTCCTCTTCTGGGTCCCTTTTGCTTTCAGGAGACACATTTCAGTTGGAGCTGTCAAAAAAGTTGATGCAAATATTTGATTTATATTTTTCGTGTCATTTTTCCTGCTTCCACCTTCACACTCCCAAATCTTTTTCAGCAAGATATATAGAGTAAGGTGAAAGATATCAAAACAATCTATTTCCACAGAGGATTTTTTGTAGCATGATTTTTCATTTGAGTAAATTATTTTTCATGTGAGTAAAATTATTACAGGTTTTTTTTGTTTTTATTTGTTTGTTTTTTTGTTGTTGTTGGGGTTTTTTTTGGTTTGTTTTTGTTTGTTTGTTTGTTTGTTTGTTTTAATCTAGTTGTTTTTGTTGGTATTTTTTGCCTGGAATTTTAGAGCAGTCACCATGTGAGTTCTTTAGTAGCTTCAGTAGAATAGACTGAAGTCTATTCTTTGAAATATAGACACTATGTTTTCCAACTGTATGGTCTGCTTTAATCCAAGAAATATATTTTGATGTACTTACAATTGTCATAGAAGGCATTGGCCTAGTTCTAAGAACAGTAAATGCTAACACTACTGCTTGCAAATTATCACATTTTTATTATCAAGAAACAATTCAGCAAACTTAGTTAATTTGCTTAGTGGTAAAGATCGTGGTAAACTATGAATTACTGTTGTCATAGCTACACTGTATTTTGATACAGTAGACTTGTTCATTGAAATCATAATAAAATAATTTGCTCTATAGCAAGTATGATGCATATCTTAAATTACAATGAATTACTTATTGTAATGAATATCTTAAAATATAAATACAGAACTCCTGACTCCTCTTTAAGTGCAGTAAGTAGAGAGTACTGCTGTTTATTTTAGGAATTTCCTGTGTCTGCAGTGCTGATTACATTGAAGTGAGAATCAATGACAATGTGCCATATAGGAGACTTTATTTATAGTAGCTTTAGAACTGATCTAAAGTGAGACAAAAGATTTTGATACCCATGACCTTTAATAGAAAACTCTCTGAAGAGAAGTTTCCAATTTTACCTCCAAAGTAACCCCAAAGTGAAAGTCCTTTGTATGTTAGACTTTGTGAGGCAATTAAATAATGACCTATTCTTGGTTTCTTTCTCCCTCAGTTACTTCTGTATCTTGGCTATTCAGTTGACAAAACAGAAAAATTATTCATGGGAGCTCTAGAAAGCTAGACATTTACCCATTTCTGCTTTTTATAATGTTCTTAAGTGCAGCATGTTTGGGGTTTGCATGTTTGCTTTTCTCTCCTTGACCTATTGCAGTCCAGTGGTTGTAGAGGATATGACCTGTGCATATGTTCCAAAGTCTCATCTTCCACCTCTTTACCAGATGTATTTTTTAAGGAAATGGAGCAGAAAAGTGACATAGATGATTATCATGCTTGGCTTTGAACTGGTGTCCCTCAGCTCACTTGGTGGTATAGGGAGGAAAAGAGGGAAACAAGAAATGCTGGTCACAATTTTGAAATATATTTAGCAGTTCATCCTTAAAGAGGACAAGCCTATAGATATTAAAAGAAAAGCCATAATACCAGTGAATAATCTTCATTCTAGACATTCTGGGGTGAAAAATAGTAGAAAAAATAGCTTAGAGAAGGTACAGGAAGAGAATATGTGTAGAATGGTGAGATTTAGTATATATTTCAGAACAGATCATTGTAGTATCTGAACAATGGGAGAGAAACTAAAAGTAAATGCATCTAACTAAATGTATCTATTTGAAATGTGATCTGTTAACTAGTGGAATTAATTAAATACTGAAAACTCTCTTCACACATATTATTTCTCTACAACTAAATAGGGCAGCATAAAAAATTCTGGCCCTTTGTAAACAGTAATTCCCCCAGGGAGCTTATTTCTAAATCATGTCTTGGGGCTTTTATTCCTCAATACTGGCTACTATTGAAGGCAGGAGGTAAGACCTACCTGAATTATGGTATGATTGCAGATTATTGTTCCAGTTCCTTCATATGCCACATTTGGTCTCTTTATCCTCTCTGTCACAGGTAACTATCTTACACCCAGAGCAAGAAAAGTAAATTCACTTGGCTGTCCCATATCTCTAAGGAACCTGATGCATGAGTGGACTAGAGAAGAGAAAGAGAGGAAAACTCCAAAGACCTACAGATCATCTGGCTGGCAGGGTGAGTAAATGTCCTGTCATCTCAATCTTGTGCTGTCAGGTACACAGTGAGTGAGCCTGCTTTAAGCATTGCCTCAGGAATTATTTATCCAGTAATTGTTGAGGAAAAAGAAGATCAAAATATGTCATGTTTCCAGGACTCTGACACTGGTGCCTGACGTGCATTCAGAAGTACTAAGCCAAACACCTCCTATATTTTCAGTTTAAGCATTGAACATGGATTTAATAGACAGGCAGTTCTGTAAAGGGAGGAGGGGGTTAATGCATGCTGTGCTGTTAAAGCCATTTTCAAATGTGGTAGGTGAAACAGAAATATCTGTTACTGAATCAGTCCAAACTCCTCATGATTCAAAAAGAGATCCAAAAGAGGAAAGAAAGGAAGAAAATTCAGTTTCCCAGTGCTGACTGTACTTAGATTAGATTCCTACAGAATCTAAGATTCCATGATCTAATCTTAGATTCCTATGGGCCTATGTTCCCTGCTTTTCCTAAGCAAATTTTTCTTGTTCACAAAACACAATTAAAAAAAAAAAATTGCCTAGTTGAAAAGCAAACATGCAGTGGCCTTATGTGATAGTCAGAACTTGATTAAATGATCCCCTTTTCTTTCTGGCTTTTCCCCTTCCAAAAGGTGGTAGAAGCAGAGACTGTAGCAGGTTCTGGAGCATTTCCTCCAGTTCACAGCAGTGAGTCAGGGGTTCTGTCAAGTACCAACAAGTCAATTGAAGGGAATCAAGAGCTACCTGTACAGAGGATGACTTATTTTTCAAAAGGATGATGCAAATAGAAATAGATGAACATGGAAGAAAATATGACTCAAAGATTACCTCAGAGTTCTCTGTCTGGTGGTTTGTGGCTCCAAAGGACATAATAAAAATATTGCCCTCCTCCACTGGAGTGGCTGATGCTTCCCCACTATATTTGGTCCTGCACATTTCTGCACCCTAAACACTGGTCAGGCCCCATATGTTTTGGTTCATTCTGCTAGGGTGAAAAGCATGAGTACAGCAAGCCCATCTACCCTGCAACCCAGGTCCAGTCTAAATTTGTTTTTAGAAAGGAAAAAAGCAACTGAATTGCAGTTTTGTCTGTGTGAAGTTCCACCCTGGCTAGGAATCATAAGACAACTTACCAAAACCTACAACATGATAAAATATAAGGCACTCTAGGGTTTTTCCTTCAACTCCAACTTCAACTGCTCTCTTTTAGAGGAAGCAAAACCTAGCAATACAACAGTACCTTTACAATTCATATTAGGTGATGTGTTCAGTGTATTAGATTGTTTTTCTTAGCACATAAGCAATATTCTGACTTTGGCGAAAGTCTGCACTTTCTGACTCCTCATTCTTTAAGGGCATCTGTCTAAATCCAAAGGTTGTCTGGACTTTGCTTTGTGTTCCAGTTAGAAGGAGAGTTTTGCTGGTTTTGCTTTTTGTTGTGCTTTGGGTTACTTTGTTTTCAGTAAGTACTCCTCTGAGTGTGCTGGAAGATAACTTTGGTGCTCAGAATTTTTTACAGAAATCAGGAAATTCCCTTGGCCATTCTGAACCCAATAGCAACAACCAGCCCTGCTCTCTGTTTCAGGATTCTGAAATCCATAGGAAAAGGTGTTCAGATGCTGATGAGACACTTTTTTGCTCTAGCAGCTGTTCCTTGCCTCCTTGTGGAAAACGCAGTGGAGCAGATACAGCCTGGGGGCACAGGTTTTTCCATACTTCACAAATAAAAGTGTCTTCTTCAACAGTGTTATTACATTCTCTTGTTTTAATACAATACCCTACTTTCTAAGCCACTACTTACTTTTTTAAGCCCCTTACTTTTGTACTTTATTTTATATAGTATCTGTGCAATGGAGATGGGCTTGATGTGTTTTGTCACAGTGATATCACTAAATGAGGGCCAGTGTGACTGAGAGCAATAAAGGTGTTCAGTGAGACGTCAACATAGCTGAAGATTAGAGTTAATTTTTTTTTATTCTTTAAACCATTTCTATGTATATTGCTTTTGCAGCTCACACATAAAAGAAAATCAACCTCAAATTCCAATCTTGTTGAAGCTTCATGAACATTACTTCAAGAAAATAAGATGTTGGCAAATGATTAAATGTGTAATTAGAGGTTTCACATTTAATCTTGTCACTGTAGTGATTTATGGTTTATTATTTTTTGTAAGTAATTCATTTCTTTTCTAGTGTTTTTTCTTTCCTTCATTATTGTTAGTGTCTGTATTATTACAGTAAGGAAATTTGTCACAAGGACAATACTTTTGTTCTCAGCTGCAAGATTCAGAGGAGAGTCAAATCAAAGCGTAGAAGATGCAATACACTTCCCACAGCAGCTGGTGGGAGAATTGTGGTGGATTTACATTGTTGGGCCAGTAATGCTTTAGTTGTGAGAACAAAGGGCAGGATGTACCCTCTGTGCTTCTCTGCTGTCATATTTAGGGCTGAAACAGGTGTCTTCAGTAGCCAGTCCCAGGAAGGCTCAATAAAGACATGGAGCTGGGACACACAATCTCCCTCTGTAGTGCATGCCAGAATTGGGTGGAAACCTGCAAACACAGCAGAAACAGCCTTGAAATAGCCCATAGCAAAGGCTGACCAGAGTCCAGTGCCTGCAGGCTGGGAGTCCGGACCCTTCTCCAGAGGTAGGTCCCCATAGCAGGATTTTTTAAAAGGACTCAGCAGTATTTGTGGTCACCACAGCTGCCCAACAGATATGTGGCACCTTGTTGCTTGTGTGAAACCAATGGCTCTTCCCTCCCTTTCCAAGTTACCCTGCCACTGGGCTGTGCTATCCTCTTTTTCCTTTCTTCCAGCTGCATGAAATTAGCAGCTTTGCTCTGGCAGAGCTGTAGTATGTCTGGTGAAACAGTCCCAGATCCTGTTTTCCAAACCAGCTTGTAGTTCTGCTGGAAAGGTGGTGTCCACACTGCCTCAAGGTGGGGAGAGCCTGGAAATGGGATACCTCACACTCAAGTGAGTGTTCCAATTTAAGCTTGTGTAGTACAGGATACTGCTTCTTCCAGCTGCACCATAGAAAATAAGCCAGATCTGAGATTTTGGGACCTAGGTGCTGTTTCAGGCTCACAAGGGCTCTTGAACTTGAGATGAACATCTCGTTGCTGCGTGGAGTTGTTTGTGAGACTTCAAAGAGAGAGTGAAAATTGAACTTTTTGGTGACAGTTTTCATATGTAGACGTGTAAATTTTTATGTGCTCTTAACTTCCTCTTGGTCAAGAACCCACTTAAAGAAAGATTTATTCTCTTACCAACATATGGTACTAAGATTCTCATGTTACAGTAACTTCACACAAGTATTGTTTCCAGACTATTGCAGGATGAAATAGCTCAGATTTTATTTCTGGTTGGGAGTTTGAATTCACGTTCATGTTAACTTCACCTAGCGCTGTTAACGTGAGCAGAAAAAATATGTTGTCATCTTCACTGTTTTAACCTAACTATGACTTATAGAGGCACTTTCACAGCAATGTTTAACACAGTTTAATTATGCTCTGTTGAAGGTACTGTATTTTACATTCTCCTTACCATTGTGTAATATTATTGTGTTTCTTTGTATTCTTTGTCTCCTTGAAAACACTGGGGCCATTTCTTTTATTCTTCTGCAACGATTACAGTAGAAACTTCCAAGAGATCTTTACAAAATTGTAGCTGAATAAAAAGTGTAAAAAATACTTTTTTTGAGAAATGGTTATGTAAAAAAGGATGTCTGTTTTGTCTTTTGTCTTTAGTATGTCTCTCTGCCTTTTGAGCAAGTTTTCATTGCTGTAATATTTTTCAGCTATTATTGCTTCTTTTTCATCGCTGTTTGTTTGGCTTTTTTGGTTTTGCTTTTGGTTTTGCTTTTGGTTGTTTTGGTTTTGTTTTTAAGGTAGGTAACCAGCAAGAAAATGCTGTTCCAGGAAGTTATAAGAAGCCACAACTCCAGTACTACCTTTCTTAATATTTTTTGAGGCTAATATTTATGTCTTTTGAGCAGATGTGTGTTTGTTTTAGGAAAGGAGTTGTTCACATTAAACTTGTGATTTTTCCCTGGATTATAATAGCTAGTTTAAGATCTGACAATCCACCTGAGAAGTCTCTTTTGTTCTTCTCAGTCAGCAGACCTTTAACTAGCTATCTGGCATTTTTCCCTGCTATTGCAGTCCCCATTTGAATCAGAGGTCACTCAAAATTTCATAACAGCTTTCTCCATATCTGACTAACTTAAATTAGTGATTGGTTATTATCTCCTCTTCAGAATAATCACTATATACGTGCAATAAATCTAGGCCTACAGAAGTACTGTGTTGTACCATCTTATGCTGATGATACAAAACTGGGAGGAGTGGGAGATACACCCGAGGGCTGTGTTGCCATTCAGTGGGACCTCCCTAGGCTGGAGAGTTGGGTGAAGAGAAACCCAGTGAGGTTCAGCAAGGACCAGGGCAGGGTCCTGCACCTGGGGAGGAAAAACCCCAAGTCCCAGCCCAGGCTGGGGTTGGACAGACTGGAGAGCAGCTCTGCAGAGAAGGACCTGGGAGTCTTGGTGGGTGACAAGCTGACAATGAGCCAGCAGTGCCCTGGTGGCCAGGAGGGCCAGTGGGATCCTGGGGTGCATTGGGAAGAGCGTGGCCAGCAGGTGGAGGGAGCTGATCCTGCCCCTCTGCTCGGCCCTGGTGAGGCCACATCTGGAGTGCTGTGTCCAGTTCTGGGCTCCCCAGCTCAGGGAAGACAAGGAGGTAATGGATAGGGTCCAGTGGAGGCCACAAAGGTGATGAGGGGTCTGGAGCATCTCTCTAATGAGATGAGGCTGAGGGAGCTGGGGATGTTTAATCTAGAAAAGAAAGAAAACTGAGGGAGGATTTCAGCAGTGCATATAAATATCTTAAAGGTGAGTGTCAAGAGGATGATGCCAGGCTCTTTCCAGTGGTTCTCAGTGACAGGATGAGGAGCAATGGCTGTAAAACCACAAGAAGATCCACCTCAACATGAGGGAGAAC